GCGCCACGTAAGGCAAGAGGCGCGTCTTTGATTCCTGAGAAAGGGCGGTCTTACTGGTGAGGCCCAAGCCTATGAGCAGAGATGCTTCCTCAGTCTCCTGCAATTCAAGTCCAACGAGTCTCTGACTATCCTCCCAACGGGCTGCGCTGTGTGCGCAGAAGAGGAGCTGTCCGCAAATGCAAGCCGACGTGCTATCAGCCTCCACGCAAAAGGATTCGAGAGCGACCACCATGTCCACCCTCAATTCCGGTTTCTGCTGCAGCGGACGTTTCTGCATAAAGAGCTCTCTGCCAATGCCCTGAACTCGGCTTGACAACACTAAGTCAGGCTCCATGTGAACAAAGACTGCAACTCCGTGCATGAACTGAAGTGACTCGAAGAAATGGCTGAGGCTGGTAGGCTTTGCCTGCGAATCTCTCATGAAATTTGCGAAGGCATACATAACCTCCTCGTTGACTGCAAAGGGGCTCAAATGATGGGCTCCCAGGGCCCATTGAAAATACCTCATGAGGGGTCCAGCTCTTTTTCAAAGAGTGCCCGTGGCCTTTTTACGGAAGGCGTCAACGAAGGATTTTTGGATCAAGGACTCGTTTGCAGCGGCACCAAGCAAACCAAGCAAGGACACCACTAATCTAGTGCACTCAGGATCATGCATCACCAGGCAACGCAGTTTCTTAAGCGCATCAGTCCGGTGGTCATCATCCGACCGCAACACGGGGATCCTCTGCAATTTGCGGAGTTTCACTGGGGCAACCCTGGATGGTCTGGCTACCTCTGCCTGGCCCTCGATCCCTTTAAGGCAATCATTAATCCCTACAGGCGGCCTAGATCCCCTAGCCTCCCAAGTGAATTGCAGACGGGCTGGCTTTTCCCAACACAACAACGGTTTCTTCCTCTTGACATACACCCAGAGACTCCACTGCCACTCTCTGAAGGTCCAAGAAGGCGCGGTCCGCACACAATGGTTGCACTTCGGAGGGTTTGAGTGCTGTTTGGGGAGACTGCTGCGAGGAACAACTTGCAGACCGTGGTTCATATTGAGCAAAAATATGATCAAGTTCCTCTTGAATCTGTGAGTCAGACAGTTGAGACTCTCCCTCACCAGGGTCTTCCTCATGCAACCTCCCGTACCATTCCGCCTCAGCTTCTTGCAGGACCTGATCGTTTTCTGAGGCATCAGCAGACACTGGGGCTTCCGGGATGACCAAACAGGAAGAAGATTCAGAAGGCAATCCTCCCGATACCTCCCCATCTTGAGAGGATTGCGGCCTGCTGGCATCGAAGGCTTTCTGCGGAAGCAAGCTCCAAGGATCGGCCACGTCCTCATCGCCGAGAGACAGGGCTTTTACTTTGGGGGTGGGGCGAGCGAAAGCTGCTGCCTGACACGGATTAGCGTCATGCTCAGTACTCTTGCTCGAGCTGTCTCCTCTCATGAGGCACAAGATGCGCAAAATGATATGCCACACGTCTTGCTGCTCGAGAAATGCAGCGTGCGATGTTCACAAAGGGTAGCCTTTAGAATAAGAGAATCGAGCTCCTGTGGCCCGGGCGCCCAGGGTTCCCAAAAGATTGGGCACAAGAACTCGCTCAACCACGAGGAATCCTGTGTCCAGATGCGCAGACGGAATCTGAGCAAACGGCCAATCGGAACTGGCGGGCGTCTCGCTCGCTCCTGATTATAAGGCAGGCAAATCCTTGGCTCCTGCATTCACACACACATGGCCACTTCCCCAGCGGGGCGATGCAGGTAACATGTTTTAAGACTCTCCAGCCTTTGAGCCTCTAGTTACCAAGATAGAAAGAATGCAGGCCCGGCTCACAATCTGGCTCGATGACTAGACACAAAAATGAATCTCACATCGCCTCGAGATGGACACCGAACAAGCAACCATTCATTCAAGCAGATTCAAAATGCCCATGAAATCTTTCACGCCAAAATTTGCCGTGAAAGAACAGTCAAATTTTGAAAACCTTGATTTTTTGAAGGAAAACCTCGCATAAAAGGTGCTACAATACTTTAGGGAGAGGGACTTGTCAACAAGTTGAAAGTTTCTTCTTGCGGACCAACGTGGTGAACCAATCGCAGTACTTGATGACGGACTTCTCGGTACCAATCTTGATGAGAATCCGCGCCCACTTGACTGCTTCGATGCCGCCCATTATCATGGAGATGCCGCGGACATCCCAGTCGGGTGTTTCTTTCGCGACGAGCTGTTGTTTGTGTCCACGATGAGCCTTTTATCGAGATCGTCTTTCTTCCGGTTGGAATTGACCGTCCCCAGGGAGGTGAAGACCCTTTCTGACATGATCTCGCCTAGGATCACTGCGGTATAATGTTTTGATACGTGGTGTTCATGACGCATGCGAGCCAGCACCTTGTCTGCCCCGAGGAGGACTTTCTCGGGGAAATTGCGTTTGTCTCCATCCAGTGTGATCTTGTTGTAATCTTTGATAAGTTGTGTGTATACTCCCGATGGGAGTATCTTAGGGACGGTGTCCTTGTCTGTGGTCGTTGGTGCGGTTGCCGGAGTCGGTGTCGTGGATGCACTAGGTGCAGTTGACGCGGAGAGTCGTTGATTGTATGTTCCGTATCTCTGTGGACAGGATTTTCCATTGTGCTATGACCGCATTGACATCCTCGCCGTTGAGGTCGTAATCGTTGCCTTTAGAGGATCTTCCCCTCGATCTTCTTGACCAAATCGGTGACCGCTGCGTCGTCTTGGAAGTAGACGGAGATCGCGCTGGAAGTGGTTATTCGGATAGCGCGGAGGTATTTCAATACTGGATCGGTGGTCATGTCGATCCCTGCTTCCGTTGCCGCCGCGGTGAGGTCTGCGTCCGCTGTCACCATGATGGTCCGATGGCTGTTCTGTTGTCCCTACTGGTCCTACAGAGCGATCGACTTAACCTCCAAAATTACGGAAAACAGGACGCATGTCAGGACAAAGTGAATTGATCTACTGCACGGTGTACGTGAAGCCGCTCTCCTTTTGATGCGTATGAGCCATCCGTCTCTCTAAGACCCCTTTGCCTGGGCGGTAAGGTCTGTTGTCGGAGACTTGGTGCTTCCTAACCTAGGTCTACTCAAAGGCCCCAGCCGGGACGTTCCAGACGTTGTCCTCGTCGCTGTTGTTGGCGGTGATGGTCTGGTTGTCCTGCATGCGGAAGCCCTTCTGGCACTGGTTACCCTCTGGGATGGACCAAAACTTGGTATGTGGTGGATGTCCATAACGCCAGCCGCACAAGGTGTGCCAATGGATGTTCTCCGTCGAGAATTCCGGGACGCCGGAGATGTGGATCGTATTGATAGAAGTATTCTTCATCCAGAACTTGCTGGTGATGGCCTCCAGGTACCTTTTGACCATGGCACTGCGCGTTGTATCGGTGTCCGGTTGATAGACGGGCGTGATGACGATCCTGTTCCACAGGATAATGGTGCTTCCTGCACGTATTTGCGTACTGCATTGCTGCCCCAGCGACCTATGAGTTGTATCGTCTCGAGGGGGTAGCCCAGCCGCATGAGTAACTGAGATCCTGACACTCTGCACACATGTTCGTTGAAACGTTATGGAGGTTGTCCCCGTGGTCCAGGTCGTATGAGCTCTGCGCCTGTGGATGCGATGGCTTTCCTGAAGACCTCGATGGTCTCAAGGTGGCTGATGGGTCCGCCTTGGCGTCCATAAATTAATATCTCGTCATTCCTCGTGGTGCCTGGGATGCGGTTGCAGTTCCTGAACGTCTCCAAGGCATGATAAGGGCAGAAGGCCGCCAGGTTGTCGGAGCAAGTGCACGGATGTGACCTGATGATGCTTATTCCAATGGTGTTGGTCTTGTGACATGGTAAGACGAAAAACGCCATTTTGCCAAAGGGGGTCGTCTCGAACCATACGTGGGAGCACCTGCTGCTGCTACTTCGATGCCCCTTAACATCCACCAACAACAGATGATGGTCACGAGGACGCAGTCGAAGACGCAGTCTGCCCAATGTTCTGTCGTGGTCTCCGGTGGAGTGGCGCCGTCTGCGGTGGCTGCGAGGTCCTCGACGATGAAAATGGGGAGGGGCCGAGGTCCCTCTCGATGCTACGGATGGACAACTTGATCTCCGCTCGATGTCTGCTCCCAGATGTTGTCCTGTATGCGCCACGTGCTATTATCGAGCCATGCTGAAGATCTATGCTGATGACCGGTATCGAACATTCTTGAGGCTGGATGCGATGGCCTGGACCAACGATATGAAGATCGGTAGAGGTTCCATCTTCCAAGAGGCCGCCAGCTTGGTCCATAATAGCCATCTGGAATCTCTCGTATTTCTCGTGTTGTTGGTATATTGCTCCCGCACGAGATTCTGAATGGTCCCTTGTTGCATCTCCGCTGCGGTCCAAGGAGTCGGCAGAAGGCTTCGAGGTCCCGTATCTCGTTGGCCGCAGCGAGGATCTGTTCAGGCGTGCATCTGCTCGGGGGTGCGGACGCCCTGGTCGACCAATCGGGGCGCCAAATGGGTGAGGTCGGCGGCCCTGAATTGCAGTATATCTCTGAATGCGGACATGCTGAACTACCGCGATGAACCCCTCGATGGAAACTACGCGTTGATCCACTGGAAGGCAAGATGCGCAGAGCCAGTTATCAGGAGAATAATGCTAGCAATTCTGAGCCTAGATTGCATGAGGCCATAATAGCCAATGCATGCCATGATAATATATGCTGTCTTCAAGTCATGACAGCCCTACCCCATATGCATGGATGCTGATATTACGCCACTTTTCCGGTATGTTCCGAGGATGTCTGAGGAAGATTGATATCTACGTTGGACCCAGTTAGGATCTGCATCGGCTGGACAGAGGGCAATCTCTGGCCTCCATCTTTTGCTGATCCTTTGGACCTGCTCCTGGGACCTTCGCCTTGGCGGCAATCCCATATTGGAGTAAAATCCCTGATGATCTAATATGATGAACTAACTAGGGACCTTCGCCTAGGCGGTAATCCCTTGTGATATCGACCTATCAGGTCTCCATTGCCGAGGCGCTCCTCTTGGTGGCGCCGCGGAGTCTGCCCTCGGCATAGTCCTCTACGAGGCGAAGGCGAAGAAACGTGAGATCCAAGAATCTGCAGAAGTCCTGCTGCGTCATGATCTGGGTGACTCCGGCCTCATAGGAGTATGTGGTCATGTCGTAGAAAGGCGGATCATTGAGATACTCGACGAGGCCAGAATTGCGCGATGTGTCGAGCTGGTTGAATTCCTCGCGGAAGAATTTGTCAGGGTTCCGCTCCGTTGGCAAGAGGTCCAGGCGGTTTGGCGGGTTCGCGCCGGAGATATTGCGAGAGTTGATCTCCAAGATGCTGTTCCTCGGCCACGTGTCCCTTGCGAAATACGGCAGAGGTTGATTTTTGTTGGCGACATCCTTGAGGGCCTCGGTGAGGAAATGATTGAAGTCGTCCTGGTCGGCGATCTCCTGTTGGATATTCAGGATAGCCAATTTGAGAATCTGCGACAACCGGTCCTCGTCTTTCTTTTCCCATTCGGTGAGGGAGAGGAAGTAGTTGATGTTGCCGGATCCTGGGACTGGCTGTCGTACGGGCAACTGCTGCGCTCCGGTGGCTGCAGCGAGGTCCTTGGTGTCTGTCGTTGCCGCCACCAGGGCCTTCTGGGCCGGGATGAGGTCTGCCTATTGAATCCACGGACGGTAGGGGTTGAGGCAATGAGGGCATATGCATCGTCTATGTTATTATGAGATGGACGCATGAGATGAAATCCTGTGGAGCCAGTGCTTGTTGTCTACCACCGCAATCTTGCGGCATATATAGTGCTGCTACATGGTGGCCATAATCTTCGACGCCCATTCGGCGATATGGTGGTCCGCCCCAACTCGTTCGAAGAAGTCGTGGCAGACCCAATCAGGGTCCAAGGCGGACTTGATGGTGTCCTCGTCCCACTGCCGGAACGTCTCCATGATCCTGGCACGATCGGTGTCGGAGGAGCCTCGAATGTCCGCGGCGAACTGGTCTACGAGGACGAGGATCCGAGCTCGGACCTGCAATCTGACCTCCGCCTTGTTGTATTCCGAGTATTCTTCGTGGATTTTGGATGATGCTGCGGCCCAGTAGCTGTTCCGATCGCGAGTCTGGTCCCCAACTTCTCGACGATGGTGCGAACTCGTTGGCAAATCTTGTACCAGGTGTCCTCATCCAATGTTATAGATTGATTGGGGTTGTTGGTCCATGGGATGATCGCATACCGTGCCCAGCGCAGCTTGCGATCGGACCAGAATGCCTCGATGTAGAGTCGCCGCTGGCGCGGTGAATCCTCGTCCAAGGCGATGACCTATCGCGTGGGATAGTTGTCATAGTCGATATCTAGGTTGGCTACGGAGGTGCGGTCCGCGTGGTTGTAGTCCGTGCGAATGGGACTGACTGCTGTACTCCGACGGTTGTGAAGGGCTGGTGTCAACGATGTATGCGAGGGGAACCAGTAGTAGTCATCTGACGCATTGCAAGCAGCATTTGTAATAATTGTTGCGCCAGTCTGCTATGCCTTGAGGGGTAATATCCAATAACCAGTATGTTGGAAACCATGCACCGCAGAACGTGCAGTCCAAGCAATTTTCGCGGGGTTCGTTGACCATGGAACGTTGTAGGTGACCGAGGTATTGCTCCGCACGCTTCATGGTGTCTATAGCGGTCTCCTCAATGGGGTCCCCGACCGTGTCCGGCATGTCGGTAGCCGCCCCATCGGCGAGCCTATCAATCCACTTCTGCACGAGGTCGTCCGAGTTGATGCCTGGGAAGATCTTCTGGAGGCCACGAAGACCTGCTCTCTCTAAGGATATCCTCTGTGCGATGTATTCGAAGGCTTTCTCGATGAGCTTCGCGCTGTGCGCCTTCCAAATGATCTTGGCGCGTTCTGGTGCATAGGCATGGGCGTAGCCGGCCGACTCGGAGCTCGGGGATGGTGCTGCCATTACGAGCGTGTATGAGGGGATTGAGGGGCACTTATTGTCATTGATATTAAGCTATGGCACAGAATTTGCCGGGCCAAGCTGGTCATTATTACTCGCAGCAGGCCCAATCAAACTGTTGCGCATATAATATGCTGGACTGCGGCTACCCTACAACTGAGATATATGGAATTGTCATGAGCAAAATATTTGCATGGCACTCAATCAATCAAAGGCTGGGGTTTTTGCATACTTGGTGCGCCAGGCGATCCCTGATGCATTCCTGACAAGCTACGAACACTACCTCTCCAAGGTAAAAGGTTGTTTGATGATAGATGCTACGTGGCGTCCGGCGGGCCCTTTGCCTAGACGCCAAGCCCCCGTCTCATCAAAGAAGATGATCTATATTAATATTCTCTTGGGACTAGTGACCCCTCGCCTAGGCGGCAAGTCACGATGTCACTCTACGATGTCGCCTCAGGATTCACGGCGCCAATAGAGGCGCGACGGCTGCCCGGTGGCATAGACGTGGTTGCGCCAGTCGTTGGAGAAGCGTTGTCGCCAATTGAGCGGCAGCATGTAGCACGAGCAATCCAGGATGGCATCGCTGATGACGGTGATCCTCCTGTCCACCGCCTGGTGTCCCTGCTCGAACCTGTGGATACACACTGCGAAGGTCATGAAGTCTCGTAAGACGTTCTAGCAGTTCTCCGCGTTGTGGTGGCCCGCTTGAGATGGTGCCGGTCATGAGAGATCATATATATGACTGTGTCCCCAAGGTGAGTACATCCGTTCCCGGTGATGGCAAAGGCATCTATAGGATCCGTTCGACTCCCTGCTGGGGTCTCTAGCCATTCGGCGGGTCTATGATGAGGCCGAAGATATTCGGGAGCCCCCCAGCGGATTCCATCGCCACCATCATCGACGTGAGGTAAGGCTAATTGCCAGAAGGGAACTGATGGATCTCCCGTGGCGGAATGGGGTGCAAAGCTGGCAGATGTTGGTGTATGATGGCCGCCCGGTATGGCAGACTGTTGCCATTGAACCCCCATGTCGCCGGAAGCATAGGGTTTGGTGACGCGGGTCCGCCATCGACGGATGCGGGCATTGGGGAACGGATGGGCAGTAGACGTGGCGGGAATATTGATGGAAAGGGGCATGGAATCATCTCTGCCGTATCTTGTGGCATCATGGTTTGTGGTGTCTGCACGGGTTGTGGTGCCACTGGTAGGGGTGCAGGTGGACAAGGTCTAGGCGGGCTGAAGGATTCTTGCCATGGAATATATATTGTGGTATTGGGTCGTGGCATCAAGTATGGTGCTGCCAACCGGGGGTGATTGCCCAGCTGCAGCATGTCTTGTTGTGGTCTTGCCGGGGATGGTGCTCTAGCTATGCTCGTGGCTGGGATGAAGATCTCCAGAACGTAGTCGTCCTGGTCGTTCCACGGGTCATAGTCGTGCTGCGGGGTTGGCTGTGTTTGTTGCACCGGCGGTGTCACTGTCTGCAATGTTGGCTGTGGTGGCGGTGCTTTCCTGCCCGATCCAATGGTGGGGGCTATCATGCTGACCTGGGCCGGCAGAGCTTCGACTGGTATCAGGTCGTCGTCATCATCCTCCGGCAACGGTGGCGGTGCTTTCTTGGGCACTGGGGCAGGCGAGGTCTCCGAAGATGTGCCGCAAGCTTAAAGAATCAGCCTCGCTGCGGGTGATGATGCCCGTGCTGGTGATCGTGGTTGCTTGTTGCGGGGTGATGACTGTCGCAGTGATGTTGGCGGAAACTTCGCCGGTACAAATGACGGCGGTGCTGCCTTGGTGGGTGCTGCTTTGGCGGGTGGTTCTGAGCTACTCGGCTCGGGTATGCTACGACCAAATGATGGTGCCGAAGTTGAGCTCATCGATATATGTCCAGAGAGGATTGGTGTGGGAGATGTTGCCCGTGCCGGTGTACTCGTCCTCGTTGGTGTATTGGTGCGGGACGATGCATATCCGCCAGATCGTCGGATGCTTGGGGATCTGTTACGTCCGGGGTTGCGACCTGCGCCGCCTCTGGACATTCTGGTGTCCGGTGCCGGTGCGCCGCCCGCTTGGATGTCCCGGTAGTACGCCTCTGTTATCGCCCACTGCGTCTAATTCATCCCGAATACAAAGTTGCGGACCGCCATGATATCCCCTGGGGATATGGAGCTTAGCAAGATGCTGGACCCGGACTGTCGAGTGACGACCTCGAAGCGCTTTGCCGCCTGGATGTAGTTCAGGATGAGCCGAGGTCGTTGTCGGGTGTGCTGCAAGTATGATGCATGGACGGCTTCTGCAAAGATGTTACCATGAGCATTCTCGCAATGCTCCCTGGTGCAATGACCCCTAAAGAAGTTCCTATATGGTATTGATGCTGAGCGGTGGTATCGCCATTTCATTCGCCGTGATGGTCTGCCCAAAGAAGATGGCCCACTCACGCATCGTTGTTGCCGGCAATTGATCCCAAGCCGGGTAGGGCTCGATCTTGGGATTCCGCTCAATGAGGTGCTGGTTCGCCATCGTTATTGATATCGAGGTGCTCGTCTGATAAAGAAGATGATGATATCGCTGGTATATTGAAGATGATATCCTCGGCTTCACGCAGAAAGCCGGCCAGAAATTCGCCTCGAAGGCGAGACTTGATCACGAGGAACAAATCGTTGAGGGCGAGGTCACTAGTCTCACGATGAAAATCCTCAATCTTGCGGATGATATACTGGATTGATTTCTTCTCAGACTCCAGTAGCTCCTCCAATCAAAATTGCCCTCGTTCGAGAAGCTGGTGCACTTACCATTGATCTGATGAGCTAATAATGATACGAGATATCCCAAGAGGACCACTCAAGAAATATAGCACCAACAATGAGAAAAAGAACCAAAATTCCAGGCAATAACACCAATTATAACCAAAATAGCGACGATTCAGACACAAATATGGAATCCTCATGCATTTACGGTTACCATCCTGGTGCAAGAATAATTATCATTATTGATGTAAGCGTAATATACGTAAAAATTAAAAGAAAGAAATAGAGAAAGAGCAATATATATATCTATTTATTATCTATTGAAGATTTTCATATAAAATCAAATCAAAAAAAAAGAATCCAAAAGAATCCTCTAGGCGGAGATCCCAATAATGAGACAGATATCTATTTTTTCTATTTCCTCGCTCTCTAGCCAATTATCCGGATTAGTGAATTATATCTATGAGGCGTGCCGATTGGGGGCTTGCTACGTCTCCCCTAGCTTCTTGGCGGGCTGCCCGAAATTCCATTCGACTATACGCTTCTTGATCCTCATTTCCTTTGCCCTTGCCCTTATAAGATTGAATTATGGCTGCAAATTTAGGAGCTCGAGATCATTAATAAATCTCTGCAATATTTTCAATCCAATCTTTTTATCCTCAAGAAATTCGATTTCCCATTTTTTGCCCGACGATATAAATACCTAGCCATATTACGATTTATTTATCCTTCTGCACGTATACCCCATCGCCAGCCTCATAAAATATTTGCAAGAAATTCGTAGTCGCCAGGCCCTCCGGTAACCGAGGCACGTAACTGAACGCCTTCTTCAGCAAATTAAAATATCATAATGATTTTTTTTCGTAAAATTCTATCGTTTTTATATCAAAGTAGATAGAATAGCATATCTTTTTTACAATCTATAAAATCTATATAATATGCATAATATGGTGAAATCTAATGTAGTACGAATTAATCCTTAAAGATCAAACTTATAATGTCTATTGTCCTTGGCAAAATACAATCTGGGCTTAAGCGCCCTGACAGAATTCCTTGCCTGAAGGTTTTCCATGACAGAGAATCGGTATTTGGCTTGAAGCTACATTCTATTTCGAAGTTATTATTCGATTCAGCTTCCGTTGCTTCCTACTATCTTCGGACTCAGAAATGATTGATGTATTGTATAGGTGTGCATGTAATGGTGGGTACATATAGATACACAATGCGTATGCATGCGTGTCATGACTGACTTTGCTTTCATTTCGCACTGTGTCAAAAGCTTAAGATGAGAATGTTCAGGGGGTTCGATGGCTAGTAAACAGTTACGAACTGCGCTCAATCGCATGATCTTTCACCGGCGCTCCAAAAGAAAGATCAGCATGGGTCTACGGTCCTTGCCTGCCACCCTGGCTGAACGAGTAAAGTGAAAGCCTGCACTGCGACTTTGAGAAATATCCGGCATCTTTTGCTCTCTGGCTTTCAGAC